TAAAAATGCTTTAAAAGCTAAAAAATATTTTTCTAATCTTTCTTAAATAAAACAACATAAAAAGTAGTTTGTAGACATAGATTCGAGTTTTATAAAAGGACAAATGGACTTTTCATTTACATAAAAAATATTACTAATCTTATTACTTTCTTGCAAAAAAATATATGTAAAACTATACCATTTTCCCTCCCCAAAAACAACTTCTAAAAAATCCAACAAAATTTGTTTAAGTCTTTTCTTTATATAAACTAAAATCACCTTCCTTTTCCTCCACCATAAACATTTTTGCAAGTCATAGTTAACTGCCATTCAAAGCCCTTAAATGCGTTTTTGGGCAACTTTGTGTGACCAAAAAATAAGTTCGTAATCACAGCCGTGAAATTCAAGTCTTTAAATATCTGGCCAAAAAAACAAAAAAAACAAAAAGGCGGCAGACGAAAACGGGCGAGCAAACGTTAATACAAAAAAATTACAAAAATGTATGAATGAACCCAAAACAATGTGTGCGAGAAAGAGAGTCAGTGGTGGTGGGAGGGAGACAGAGAGTTGGCAGCACTTGGCGGTCATTGTTCCAATTTCTAACCATTTTTTATATTTTTTTTATTTCGTGTGAGTGTGATTTTCTATGTGTGTGTTTTGTGTGGATTTTATTTCTTCTTCTCGGTTTTCCAAGTGTTGTTGTTAATTTGTTTGGCTGTGGCGCGCATTTTTCACACACTACTAAACAGGGGGAAAATGGAAAATGCCCGCCCCCTCCGTTCTCCGTTCGTCTCTACCGTCCCTGTCTTGTGACTCTGGTTTTGTGCATTAAAGCCTGCAGCTACCAAATACGCCACAATTTAAGCATTTGTATTCGTGCCTGTGGCTCACATGTCAGGTTGACCGCCCAACAAAAACAGCAGAAAAAAAACAAGAAAATGCAGATAGTGGAAAAACCGGAAAAACAAAAACTTAAGCATGCCAAACAAAGGAAAAAAAACAGGACAACAAGTAGAGGCGGGTGATCTGAAAGAAGGATTTAGAAAAGGGTAAAAATATTTAATCTTGACACTAAGCTGCCGGCAGGATAATGCAACTCAATTTGTGGATAAATTTGTTGAGTCTTTCAAGCTTCTCTTATAACTTAATAATATAAGATATATCTCTTGGAATTTCCTTAAATATTGAATACTGTTTTCTAGAAAAGAAACTTTGCTACTGGTTCCCTACTTTCCTTTGACTTTCCAAAACAAGGAATTTCGCTTTAAACTTAATTCGTTTCACCATTATTTTTGCTGTGAACCAAATTGCTTGTGCCAAAAACATTGTGTTTGTGTAAATCTGACAGCTGAAATTCGCTGTTTTCCCAAAACGAACACAACTTTGAACTTAAAACCAAAATAACCGCCGACAGTTTTGAGTGATTTGGCTGTTCAACTAGTCGTATGCGTGATATGTGACAGCCATAATTTGCCTAGCTGTTCGATGCAGATATATATATATATATCATAATTAGACGGCGGGTAACTAAGGGACTTGAATCCAATCAGTGGTCATTTCATACTCGCTTTCCGCTGATATGGCTGTTCAACTGGGCGTATACGTAATTATCAAAGTTTCATTTGTGCATCATTTTTTTGGCAGCTCAAAGTTGTGCTTGTGTGATTTGTGGGGATTATTTGAAATGTTTATGGAAATAGTATTTGAAAGATGTATTAAATGTAAAATCAGAAATATTAGAAATCACATAAAAAACACTTTCCAAATTCAAACTAACTAACCTTATTAAAGTTGAAACTGAAAGGCTTTTCAAGAGAGGTGGGGGTGGTTTTGAAATCTGCTAAAGGTTTGCCAACTCTAGTTGGGGGGGGGAGACTCACAAAGGGAATACGTACCAGACAATATGCAATGTTAGTTTGCTGCTGCTGCTTCTCCATTTTTTATTTCTGTTCCCGTCCAGCGATTAAAAGCACCATCCAAACATCCAAACATCCAAGCACTCATACACCCATACATACACCCACGCATGCATGCTGAAATAGATAAAACCAAACACATACCCTTGCCGATAGAGAGGAAGAGGAGAAGAGAGAGAGCGAGAGCGAGAGCGGGGACGACTGACAGCTGCCGTCGGCTTAAATGGCGCTTACAGCGAACGCAAAAACAAAAACAAAAACCCAAGGGCTAGAAACAACAAGCAAAGAAACATCATCAAAATCTAGAGAACATAAAGCATAGGTAGGCGGAAGGTATACAGTAGAGATTCAATATAATGAACCCTATTTATATTTCTATATAAGAACTCATCTAGAGTCCTTCATCTTTCATTTGGGTTAAAGTTAGTTTTGCATTGATTTTTCACCTTTTGTTCCACATAAACTGTTTCCCAACATTGAACACTAGCTTTTCCAGATATATTTACTCGCAGATCCTTTAAAACTCATATCTCTGAGGTATTTCCCAGCAATTTTCCAGCTAGCGAATCTCCGCTGTAGCTTTTGCAAAATGAAATTAACGTTCGCATAATTGAGCGCAAAAATTGTAACTAATAAAACGGCAAAACAAAAACGCGGCAAATTCAATTAAAGCCGCAGCGCGAAGAAGAACCAGACCCAAAATCACTTCACACACACACACACACACACGCACACACATTGATAGACTCATACAAACACAAAGTCAAGCACACACGCACAAAGTGAGTGTGAAAATTAAATTTGCCATGCTATTAGCATTTGTCTACGCAGCGAGTGGGAAAGAGGCAGCAGGGAGGGGGACCAAAGCCGTGACTGATGCGAAGAGAATGCTATATACGAGTATATATATATATTATATATATGGGGGTTTTTTTTTCGGGTGGTTGGGGCACTTTTTGATGGATAGTTGAAGAAGATTCTCTTGTCAGACACGTGTTCGACTGCTTGCTAAGCAGTGTTAATGTGACATCTCTGAATGGATGAGAGCAGAGGGGTCTGAGATGGTGGTTTTTTGGTTCTCCACTTCCTACTCTACCCAGTTGGAAGAAACTGGGAAAATTGCTAAATAATTCAGGGGTCTACGAAAAGGAACGAACTGCTGCGGTCTTACACTGCGTTTTTATCCGCTCGAGTGACTTTTGTGGCCCACTGTTTGTGCAGTCAAATGTTTTATGAACAATTGAACGGTTTAATTGACTTTAAATTGAGTTGCCTTCCACCGAAATTCAAAGTCATGTTCACTACAAAGTCGCTTTAATTGCTAGTTGCTGTTACTAAGTTGTAAGGCAATGCTTTGGTTTGCTTTTTTACAGCTTCTTTTAGGGTTTCTTAGAGTACTTTTCCTTGCTCTGAATCCTAAATAAAATCAAATTTCAAACTCATAAAAGCTTGTATTTTTTCCTCGTTTATAAGGTCGTATTCATCTGTCTTTATCACAAATAAATAACATATGTTTGAGTTTGCCAAAAAGTAGAGTGCGGCTAACAAAATTCTACAAATGAAGTGACCCATTTTCTGCCCTCGCCCTTTCCCCTTGAAAATCATTCATCTCTGTCGACTCAAAACGAATTTATCAAAGTCGTAGCCAAATAATTTGACCAATATTGCATATGGATGTGGATATATATATATATATATATATATAGATTTGTATATTTCAAAGGAGTCAACGATCGGCGGTCATTGAACTTCAACATGCTTTTCACACTTGCCCGCTGTTTTTGCTTGGTCTTTCGATTTAAAGTGTCAATATTCGGGGTGCTTTTTGCCTTTTTGATTTGATTTTCGTGCGCTAATTCAATTAGATTTATGTGCACCATTTGACATGCTCCCCCCCTCTCGCTTGCACACCGCTCCTTCCATCTCTCTCTCTCACTTATGATTTTTGTTTGTTTATTTATTCCTGGACATGTCGCTAAATGGGTTTTCTTGTTTGTTCAAAATCAGATCATGGCCAATAAATCAACACTCAATTCGATTTCCAGCTAGTGTATAGTGTGTGTGAGTGGGTGATGTGCAGTTTGAGTAGTGTGTGTGTGTGTGTGTGTGTGTATGCTGTGCGGTTGTCAAGCAAATTGATTTGTCCATTTCTTCGAGGGGTTAAACAAATACGATTGCAAACAGAAATGGAAGACCAGCAGGTTATGCAAATGCAACAGGAAGGGGCGTCCCGGTTTTCCCGTTCGCCAACTTAATAACCGAATCGCCTTAAAAAGAAAAGCCAAAGCCAAAGCTTCATAACCATAACCAAAACCAAAAAACCAGCCCAAGGAGTCACAGTCAAAGTCAAGAAAAACTTGTTTTTCCACAGCCAAGCAGCGGAAATTGTTGGGTTATTATGGCTTTCCTCCTCCTTTTAATTTTTTTTTTTTTTTGTACTCTCCTTGGCCTGGCTTTTAAAGCTAAACCGAGTCAAAGACTCATAATTGATACGCAGAAAGAAAGGGGGAAAATGCGAGTGCGAGAGATGAATGGATAGAGAGGTAGGTGTGTCCCAGCTGCAAACCAGTTGGAAAAGTGATAATGAATTCGGGGGAAACTGTGTCACGGAAAAACAAAAAAAAATAAATAAAAAAGTCAACAGGAAAATACTGCGGGAAAATGCATGTCTTTTAAGATGTAAAATTCAATATCTTTTGACTACTTAAAAGCTAACTAACTACAACGATCCAATGGCAGTTTCATTATCATCCATCATATCAAGTATACGCCCTGTGTTCTTAATAAACCCCAATATGATGTCCTCCTCGATGACCTCTTGCATTTAATTATTTCACACATTCAGACAGAAGGCCTTTTGCATATCTTTTTACGATCTCTTCAGTTAATTGAATTTTGATTTTGGGTAAATATTCAGCATTTGACACTTTGGCTTATGGAAATAATTGAATTTGAAACGATCGAAAGTTCGATTGATCGACCTCCTGATGGGTGGTGGGTGTTCCCGGGAATGAGGCGGCGATGCTGATTTAATTAGCCACTCGAATTGAGACTTTTGCTCATTTCCAGCACGTACTGAAGCCAACGGCCAATGGCCAATGGAAAATGCAACTGGCTCGCATTGAGCCCGGTTATGACCAACCCGCCGGTCACAGTGGTTCAAGGTCCATTTGCTGGGGCTTAAACTGGTTTGAATTCAGTGACTAGAGATTGATGACTGTGTCTGGGTTTGTTTTTAAACAAATTCTTGAACTTTTTTTGGTATTTTTAAGACTTTTTAACTTTGAACACAGCTTGAGTCTTCTATCATTAAGTCTAAAATTAATATCAAATAATTTGTGAAAATATTCTAAAGAAAATCTTAAAAATATTTCCCATTTTAACCACTATGCTAGGACTCTAAAAATTTTGTGCAACTTGCCGCGCTTGTCTCGATGCCCATTGTCAATGTGGCAGCTTTTGGCAGGTCTCCAGTCTTCAGACTTTGGTCTCCGAGAGTCTTCGGTCTCCGGTCTCTGGTCTCTGGTCCCTGGTCATTCACATTATCGTTGCATGCGCCGAGAGGTAACCCCGCCGCATGGGTGTGTTCGTTCATCTTTATTTCTTGTGCGTGCAAAAATTCAACAATTGCAGAAATTGAAACTTTTGCCTCTTTGCCGTTGTTGCCACACACAGAAACATTGAAAGAAAACTTTCAGACATGAAAATCGTAAAAACGAAATAAAATAAAATAAAATGTGCACACGTTTGCCTGTTTCTGTTTTCCAGTTTTCTGCTTTTCAGTTTTGCTGTGTTTTTTTTCTGTTTTTTTCTGTTTGTGTTTGAGTTGGAGTTTGTGCCCTGCAGACAGACGCTTAATATGCCAATGCACTTTTCCCGAGGAACGGAGTGCCCTTTCACCTCTGTCCCTCTCTTTCTGGGTTCTGGGTTCTGGCTCACATTTGTGTTTATTTAATCTTTCACCGGGCAAAATTGATATGCCCAAGTAATAAACAAACATCGCTGAAAAAAAGAACTAAAACAAATTGAAATTTATGTTTCAATATTTGTTTAATGTCTCAAGAAGCGGTTGCTCTGTGTGGCAAGTGGTAGAGGCAAGTGGCTGTTTTCAGCTGCTCTACAACTCAAAAACTAAAATCGATTAAATTTTAAAGGGTGCTAAGTGCTGGCTTTTAGCAGATTTATTCTGCTGCCATTTGCCATCTGATAAACCAAAACTATAACTTTATGTAATGGACTTTGGCTGTAATTTAAGTGATTTTTCAATTTATCAAGATCGTTATGTTGCATCTTTTGTTAAGTCAATTTCATTTTCAAATCGGTTTTCTATTTAATTTATTTCTACAACTTACATCCTTGCTATTCCCAAAACAAAAGGTTTTGTCCTCTTATTAATTTATATTGCATTTTGATATAAATTGATTTTTAGTCTTATAACCTGTTGCTTGTCAAGTAACTTGATGTTCTTTCGATTGCCATTCTCTTTCTCAGCTCATACCTCAGCTTAATAATTAATTTCTTGTATTTTCCTTATGGCTCTTGACTTTTCAAACATTATTCGTGTGCTTTTTCCATTTGGAACGCTCTCTCTATCTTTTCCATCATTAATTTCGAGTTTATTCTTTGGCTATGCTGGCACACATCAAGCATACGCCGTGTGCTGCATTATGCTGACTCATTCAGAGAGCTGCTCTTTCACTGGCTCTCTGTTGCCTTGCCACATTTTATTTGGTTTTACTTGGTTGCCCTTTTGTTTACTTGTTTATTTATTCTTTATATTTTTGTTGCCCCACTCTGGCCGCCTCCCCTTTTCCCTTTTCCCATTTTTCCCCATTTTTTTCTCATTTTTTGTTTACTTTTTTATGTAATTTGCGCACAATTTGCAGTTCATTGTTTTTAAAAGAGAAAAAGAGAAAGAGAAAGGGAAAGGAAGAGTGGCCGAAGTGTGCCTCATCAGGACATGGGTTAACCCACTCTGTCAGTACTTTGTATTGCAGGGAGCGAAGAGCACTTTAACCCATGTTGCCAGCGACCCTTCGTTCTCTGTGCCTTTCTCTGGGGGCTTTTTTCTGGCCAGAGCTTCATTCTTTGCCTCTTCAATTGTCTGACGTTTGGGTTTTCCAGCCGAGAAATAAGTCTGCTTTATATATAAAAATATATTTTTTTTTATATATTTTATTTTCTTATATAAGACCGTGTAGAGTTCGTGCGTGGGAACAAGGACAAGTTGCGGCTTCTGCGGCAATTTCTCTGCTACTTTCTCAAATAATCATTTCAATGCAATTTTTATATAATTTTCCCTCCACTCTCGCGCTTTGCTAATCCACTGTTGACATGCAATTTGATTCAATTATCATGATTTTGTTTGAATGTGTGCAGTAGTCTCCTCCCAGCAGTTTTCTTTTTTGTTGCTGTCGCCGTTTTTCTTATGCTTTTTTTTTTGGTTTTTCTTCTTTCCAGAAGCGTGGGAAATTTAACAAGCTTTCGGTTGGGTTTTCTTCTTGCTCGCTGTGTGTGTGTGTGTGTGTAACTCATGCAATTATTCAATTTGTGGCCAGCCATTAGGGCAGAAAAACAAAAAAATAAAAACGTTAGGAAAATGTGTAATTTTTCCCCGAGTTCCACTAATTAGTTTCGATTACCCAAGAACCATATAGATTTTTATTTATATTCAACTGTAAAACGAACTCCTGTACATTCCTTCATGGTTTTCACTGTGCCAAATGGATTAACAGCTAAGCGATGCGTGAATACGAAATTAAAATCAAATTTTAATGCCGTGTTTTTTTGTTGTTGTGATTTTTTGAGCAATTAATCGTTTATACTCTTAATGATAATGCTCTATGGCCGTCTCGCTCATTATCTCTATGGCCGTCTCGCTTACGCACTCGCCTGTTGGTTTCATTAATTAAACATTGCTGACATCACGCATACGCAACGTGTGCTGCATATGCAACTTTTGTGCGGGGCAAATGGCAAATTGCAAACACAAATATGAAAAAAAAATAATTAAATTAAATGCAACGACAAGGAAAATGCAAAAAAAAAACAAAAGCAAACATAAGAAAATTGAAAAACTTTTTCAGAATTATTAATAATAAAAAATGTTTTGTTTACATTTAAAAAAAAATGAAAAAATATTAAGAAAATATAAAAAAATATTAAAATAATATATAAAAAATAATACAAAATATAACAAAATAATATAATAATATAATAATAATAATGATAATAATAATATAACAAAAAAATATTAAAATATTAAAAACCATATAAAAAAAATAAAATAAATATAAAAAATATCAAAAAAATATCAAAAAAATATTAAAATATAAAAAATAAATAAAAACTATAAAAAAAAATTATAAAAAAAAATTATAAAAAAAATATAAAAAATATATAAAAAATATATAAAAATATATAAAAAATATATAAAAAATATATAAAAAATATATAAAAAATATATAAAAATATATAAAAAATATATAAAAAATATATAAAAAATATATAAAAAATATATAAAAAATATATAAAAAAATATATAAAAAATATATAAAAAATATATAAAAAAATATATAAAAAATATATAAAAATATATAAAAAATATATAAAATATATAAAAAATATAAAAAAAAAATAAATATATAAAAAATATAAAAAAAAATAAATAAAAAAAATAAATAAAAAAAAAATAAAAATATAAAAATATAAAAATATATAAAAATATAAAAATATAAAAATATAAAAATATAAAAATATATAAAAATATATAAAAATATATAAAAACATATAAAAAATATCAAAAATATAAAAAAAATATAAAAAAAAATATATATAAATATATAAAATAAATATAAAAAAATATAAAAAAATATAAAAAAATATAAAAAATATAAAAAATATAAAAAAATATAAAAAATATAAAAAAAAATATAACAAAAATATAAAAAAAATATAAAAATAATATAAAAAAATATAAAAAAAATATAAAAAAATATAAAAACTTATATAAAAAAAATATAAAAAAATAAAAAAAAAAAAAGTATAAAAAAACATTTAAAAAATATTAAAAATGTATAAAAATCTTAAACTAAATAAATAAATATTATAAACTAAAATATAAATAATTTAAAAAAACTTTTAAAATATAAAATAAAAATTGTATAATTAAGAGAGTGTCCTTAGCTAAACTCCTTTTGTTTTCTTATTAAATGAAAAATGTTTTTTCTGCTTGTTTTGCATAGAAAATGCCGCATAAGATTGAAAGCTTTGCCCGTATTACCCCTCCCTGTCTTTCGTAATATACCCCTCTCGTTCTGGCCAAAAATTGCTTTGGCGTGGCATAATCGCCGCAGTGTTGCAACAAGAATAACAGCGAAAATCCCATTTCCCCAGTAAAAGTAATTTCTATGCAAGGCCAACAACAGCAACAACAACAACAACAGCAACGAAAACTACAGCAACCGCAGCGCTGTGCGAGCGAGATGAAGGCGGGCTGCGAAACGAGAGGGCGATATGGGGTAGAGTGACAAAACGGCACTTTTGGGCGAGCATATTTATGATGTGTGCGAGTGAGTGAGAGCCAAGGAAATCCTTCGCATGTGTATCAAATAATTTAGGGGCCAAAAAACGAAACAAACGACTAAGAATCTAAATAGAAATCCGCACAAAGGGAAAGCTAAAAGAGAAACCAGAACGGAAAAAAAACTATATATATATGAAAAAAGGGGATGTCAATGGGGGTCAAAGGACCCATTAAGGTCATCAGCAAGGATTCTGTGTACTTCAAAAATGAAATAATTGAGCTCAACGTAGGCAAAAACTTAATTAAATTTGAGAAATTTGTAAAGAAAGAAGCTTTTAATAGGTTTTCTTTTTATATTTTAAAAATATTTAATAAATCAAAAACCCTTCCTAACGGCTTAGTAAGACTTTTAAGATCCACCTACTCCTGCTTAAACTTAATTTTCAGCTTCAAACACTTAAAAACAATGATTCCATTTTCATATTAGATTATATCCACATACCAGAACCGCTTTCAAATGCTTCAGCAGCACGCTCAGACTCAAATAGCATAACTTTAACCTGCCAGGACTCTCAAGATCGCCAGCTATTTTCGACAAAATCCTGCTATCGCATTTCCAAGCGCCAGCAAACGAGAAAGGAAAATGTATTCGACCATCAAATGACGCTGCACATTGCAGATTCGTTTTTCCACAACACACACACACACTCGGAAAATTTAGTATCGCATAAAAATTGCAGAGAAATACACACGGAAAACATGACAGGATGAGCACGAAGGAGCTGCGAAAGGAGCGCAGGGATAAGGGATAAAGGGAGGACAACAAAGTGAACACTGAATGGACAACGCTCTTGACCACTTTCTGTGAGCACATGTGGGGTGGAGGTAGGAGGGGTATTGGAGGTCCCCAAAGCAGCTTAACAACTCAAACATCCTTGGGAACCCAACCCGAATGTCCCTGTATGCCACCCACAACATGCCACCCACAAACCCAATAACTTTGGGCTAGTCAAAGTCGAGGCGTTTGTCGCCGAAACGAATTTGTGTGTCACTCAGCAAATAAGTCGCACCACACACAAACTATCAAAGGGTGGGTGGGTGGTGTTAGGGGTAGCTGCCAGAGGGCTAAAATGGGGTTCGTTTTTTTTGGGCGGCAGGAGGTGTTGACATTGCCCAGCACTAAGCATCCTTTTTTCGCACATGAAACACAATCGCAAATGGCTTGCACAACAAATGGGGTAGAAAAATAAAATGAAATTGAAAAATAAAGGGTTAAGCTTACCTGATTGTTATGCTCTCTTCTGCATGTAATCAAATTTAACCCATTTTTTTGGCAATGCCGTTTAAGGCTCGTAGTTTTTAACCAAGTTGGTAACTTTACTGAGATGTTTCTTTGAGTTTTTTTTCATAAGTTAGATCCAACTAATGGCAATCAAGATGCATAAATACTTTGTGGTCTTCGATTAACATTCCAGTTTTGAATAATTAAATCGATAAATTGAAGCAGAGCCGCTTCTTGCAGTTATCGTTTGACTTGGCTAAACAGGCTAAATCATCCGATAACCGAACTTTGCCTCCTTTTCTGGCATAACCTAAGCATTTGCAATTCCCCAGACAATTATGACCACAGAAAATGGCTTTCTGGCTTATATTTTCCTCAATATACATGGATACATGGCCAAATGCCTTGTCCCAAGAGCGGACTGTTTATGGAGTCGAAAATTATTCGATTATTTGCTCGAAAGTAAAAAAAGAAAACTCAATCGATTTGAATAGTCAATGTCTCGGTGGAATTTGCCAGCCAGAATATTTGCATCTGATATTAAGCATTTATATAGATTTCTGTGTGAATACATTCTCTGTGAGGGCTGTGGGCTGTGGGCTGTGAGAGCTGTGGGCTGTGTGCTGTGAGCTGTTTGAATTCCTGCGAGATAGTCGTCCCATTTCTATATAAAAATATACATGCATGTTCTTTCTTCCTTTCGAGACCTGAGAGAGTACCAAGGATATGTCCGAAGTAAAAAACATTTAGTTTAGCAGAGCCCTGCAGACCGCAAATTAAATGGAAATAAAATGCATTCCCACTCGGGGCTGGCAAGTAAATAAAAAAAAATATAAAATAAATAGAGGTGCATGTATGTATATAAAGTGACAGCCAGGCGGAAAAACCACCGACGTCGTCTTCCCTTTTTGGCCGATATATGTCACACACACACACACACACATACTATGTGTTGGTACAGCAGAGAAGTTTTGAGC